TACCATCGAGATTAAAGACTAGTTCATCCCCGAGGCATATAACCTCCAGAAATTTAAGAAGAACACCAATTCCTACCTCATTTCCCTTGGTTCTCACGATGTTCTCTGAACATTACAGGATATCTCTTTTCGTGGGAACCAGAACATCGAGATTTTTCACAAATAGTGAAACGTGAGAATGTGGATCAAGTGTAACATAAATGATCTATGGAGGCCCATCCAATGCAATCAACCATTCCGGAGCTAACTGAATATACGGCACATGAGTTACAACATACAACTTATACATGATCCAGATTTAATTCTGGCTGCTGGGATAGTTGGACTCGCCCTTTCGTGTATGATGCCCCGGTACGGGACATCACTAATCACTGAGGGTGACTATAGGAACTAGGAACAGCCAACAGCCTCAACGGAATCCACCTCCCCCTTAGCAGCGCTACGGTCCTCACACAATAAGAAAACCCTGTCGGGCACATAACTTCAAGTCTAGAGTTTATGGAACGTGAATGAAAGAGAAAAATCAAGCCAATCTACAGGACCTGGTGCATAGAGACTGAAGCTTAATAATGTTTGCATGGTTTTCTTTGGGCTTCGGGTGTTGTTTTGGAAATGAGGAATCATTCCTGTTATTATGCACAGAGAGTGATAGTCGGTAGTAAATACCAACAGTTTAGTAAAATAGGCGCCAGCAACTATACATTCATCAAATATCACAACAAAATAGTATAATACTATACTATATCAAATATTACTACTACAAAATTGTATCATACAATACTATATAGTATCATACTATTTTGTACTGGTAATATTTGATGGATGTAGTGACTGGCTCCTATTTCACTAAACTTTTGGTATTTATAACCGACTATTTCTCTGGGTGTAGACAAGGTGGAAATTAGAGATCATTTCGGGCAGAAAATCAATCTCTATTCCCGTTGTGGTGATTGCTGATTGACCAGGGTTAGGGTCCTTGACCTTGGACATTTGTATAATTGGACTTTATACCGTTAAAGTCCCCTCATGAGAAAATAAGGACAGACTTAATCGTTCCATTAGAAACTAATCTGAGTAGTAGGATCTCCAAGACCTGGCGATTTAAAGATTTGAAGATATTTGTATAGAATTCCAGATGAATTTTAATGTTAGATCATTAACGAGCACCGAATAGCTTCCATACATTACCGAGAGTATAACCTCAAAGGGGATGCTAAAATGGTCAGCACTTCGATTATAGAGCCAGTAATCGAGAAGGGCTATGGTATTGTACCTAAACGATTAGTTTTCAACTATAATAGGTCCATGAACGATATTTTCAGGTGCTAATCTGTTTGCAGCATCAATAATACAGTTCAAAAGTAATGTAGATGGGTAACGATGATTTTCCGCATGTCTTGCATATCCGAGAAACCACAACACTAGCAACATGTGCACAAGTACCTAATGTTCTGGCCCCTGACTTGCAAGTGAATATCCGATTATTGGTGACTCTATAGAATCTTCGATGTTGTATATCACCCACAGCATATATTTGGTGGCATTCCTGAATCTTGAGAAGATTCGTAATCGTACAAGATTGGGCTCAGCAATAAATTCGTCCACTTCTAGTATGTTTGTTTCTTCCCTTTGAAGCTCATCCTGAATATATGCAGCTGATAACTGAATATGATACATGCCTGTTAAATCTTCCAAGTATTCCAATGTCAAACGGGGGAATTCAGGAACATGAAGATGATTGAGTAAAACCCAGCGACCATTTCTCAAATGCAGATTTTTGGCTTCAACAAGTGCCTTTAAATTCACCTCATGTGATTTTTCCAGCATTCGTGTGTCTGTTTCAACTGTTCCTAGAATATTGGTGGACGATGGCATAGTCATCAGTGTCCGGAACCGGTTTATCAATGCTCCAGCAATGTTAATAAAATCATGCAAATGAATTGAATGAGAAATTGACAAAGTGCCTTTTGAAAATTTGAAAATTGACTTCAAATGGCCATTCCGAGATTCAACGATCCATCGTGTACTGGTTATTAGTCGGGCTTTATTAGCATCGGAAGTAGTGAGCTGGTTTTGGCCCCTCGCAAGTAGAGGAGGCATATGGTAGTTGATACCAAGATATTGAAATAGGGGAATTGAATCTCGATAGCCTCTATCTACGACCACAATATCACCTTCTTGAAACCAGGCTCGCATTCCACCGATATCATGTTGAAGTTTATGATTAAGAATCGATGCATCGTTATTGCGGGCATCTGAGTAATAGGTTTAGTGCTAAAATATATCCATCTGAGGCAACCATTACTTCCGGTTTGATCAAATGTTCCATTTTATGGTAGTAATAGGATTGGCGTAGTACTCTAAAATTACTAAATTTTTTATTATATGTACAATCAATATAAACTTTTGGAATATCAGGCTCGGGATTGTAGAGCTTATTAGCAAATGGAGAAACATGTCTTGCAATGAAATGTTCTCTATCAATTGCCCCAAAGCGCTCCATTAAAGATATATATACGTACATTGGATACTATCATGCTAGTATTCTGCCGAGACGGATATCGGAAGAATATTTTCAAGAACTCATCCCAGACACCATGTCGCAATTTGACAAGAAAAGTCATGAGGTGTTTTTCAGATATAAATCGCATATTGCCACATTTCTCAATGGAGTCACAATATTCTTTTGATTCTCGAAACTGCTGTTTCGAAAGTGACGTCAAATATTCAAACTCATCATCGGCAACTACAGCAGTTGCAGCTGTTCTGAGGCATTGCAGGAATTGGTTTAATTGTTTCATTGAATACGGATCTATTGACAAAACGCAAACCAGCATAAAAAATGTTCAAGAGGAATCCGCGATTGTCAAGATGATGTGCACACTCGTGTCCACATATTATTCTTACATTTTCGGGAACATATATGTTAGAAATAATAAAAATATTCACTCTACTGTCAATGGGCATTCTGTGAATATTAATGTGGGAATTACAAACCATGCGACTACGACTTGTTACTGAAGATAAAACATTGAGACGAAGACAGCTGGGATTATTTTGTAATTGTCTAATGTCGTTGAGTATTGCCTGGAAACAATTGAAACAAGTTCTAGTTTCCTCAGCAATATCGAGAGGAGGTCTTTCTGCATCTTGTCTTCTCAATATAGCCATTTCCTGTTTTTCGATATTTTCTTCCATGCATCCTAGTCATTTTCTGTATTCTACAGTTTCTATCACAAACGTAACAGTCCCCCCTATTAACCAACGCCATTTGGAACACTATCACTACTTGAAAACTATAATGTGATAAAATGATGAGCAATAAATTCCACAAAGGAAATATCCTAAATTTCAACGCTCAAACTAAAAGCAACAATCGATATCCGCGTGACAAGTTCACTGACAGATCGAATATGAATCAATAGTTCAGAAACCCATTTTTGCATTCAATAGGAATTAACTTTTTAGGATTATTTCTATTTCACTATCATACGTATTGAATTATTTCATTGGAATGTGATATGAATATGAATCTATAATGATATTAATAATTATTACTGATAGCAAGCAAATATGAATATGATGGAAACGCCTTCTGAGTGGAAAACAAATGTGAAAAAATCTGTCGATTCCAGGATTCAACTCTTCCTATTAGAAATAAAAGCGTGAAAGACCGAATCATTCTCCCATTTCCTAGGTATTGTAGAGCTTGTATACCAACAAAATTCACCTAACTATCTGTAAATTATATTAATATTATTAAATTCATATATCTGCTATATTATTATTTCTAATCTTCACCCTGTATACTAAACTTATATTCGTCTCCACATTCTCACATTTCACTATTTGTGAGAAATATCGGCCACTATGCGAATGTAAGTGAACAAGTCTCTTTCAACTCTTCATGCAAATGGTAAGTTCCTGAATTAATAACTATGAAACCCGTCATGATAGGAAACTGAATTTTCAAGACAGTGTTGAGGAGCGAATGATGAATATATTGAAAAATAGTTAGGGAATTTCACCGAGTTAATCATGAATATAACAGGGTGATTTCAAAAAACACGATTTTTTATCATTTTCATCATCGAAAATCTTCATGATCACCCTATATATCTCAATTCACTCGAATATACAGGATGTGTATGAATAAATCGGTCTTAGGTGTCACCAATTTTTCGAATCACCCTGTATGAATACCTAAATTATTTTTTCGATATTTTATTATTACCTACATCGAATTTTCAGACATCACCAAAATTTTACTCCGTAAACAATTACATAATCTGAACCATCTGAATAATATTGAGTAATATTGAGGTACGTAAAATTTAACTTGACATCGTTGAATTTCGAGAAAATAATTTGAAAAAAATACAGATTTGTAACTACAGATTTGTAACTTCAACGCCCTGTATCTCAGAATCTGTTCATCAAAGAACTTCACGATTCTGCAGGTTCAATCAATTCATCGGATTCTACAACATACTGAAAATTCAGAAAATTTCACCAATAACCATTTTACGTACTAAAAGTGCGGGCCCTTTCACTCCGATTCATATCCACACAATATCCACACATCACTTATTAACAGAAATTTCAAAATTTCACTTGACATTGACCAGGTTTTGGAAATTTCCAAAAAGAGGCACAGAGATAAAAATCGCTGAAACCAAGAAATACTTCATCGAATGAAAATTACAAGTGGAAAATTTTTTTGTGCGGTAACAGACTTCGAACTTCACCTAGAAACAAATATTTTTCATCTAATATCCCCATAGACCCCATACTTAACAAATTCTCATATTTTGTCACACATTTCCTCATTATGTGTCAAAGCAGACAAAGACTAATAATTTCCAGAATTTTCAATACTTTGAGATATCAACAAGGATATTAAAAAGTGAAATTTTGTGCTATTTATGTACTCAAGTCCTATATTGAAAGTGTGTCTTATGTTTTACTGAAACAGTGTTTATTAGTAATTTTTCACTTACCCGAACACTTACCACTATAATTAGTTGTGTCCAAATTTTCGGATGTCATTTTTTGACTGAAAAAAAAACAAAATTGAGTGTTATAGAATAATATGCTATGTTTCGGGACACTATACTGGGTGTTCCAGATCTTCTCATACATACAATATCTCAGTTATGCTGCTTAGTTGGAAAAAACATTTCAAAAATTACACTTCTGTCGAAGTCAACTTCTGTCAAACTACTCTTGAAAAACCACCCTCAACATCATTATTTCAAGTTACACCCTATACATTTTTTTTATTTAAGTGCAATCAATTATAACTTCAACGAAGTATCACACTTGATATTTTGACATCAATAATACTTCCAAATTACAAAATTCGAAGGAGACAGTATCAGCTGTAGATCATTTTTATGTTGCTGTTTTTTTACTCAATTTGTAGTTACCCTGAGTACAGTGTGTCCAGTTTTCGATGCTTCTGTGTGATATCTCAGTTATCTCTCGAGATATAACCTTGCGGTTTTCGCGGTCCTTTGCCACGTTTTTGTGAAACTCAAGATGGCCTAATCAGATTTTGCATAACTGTTTATGAGATACAGGGCGATTTTGAAAATTTATACTTTTTGGACCCCCTCTATATCTACGAAGTTTCCCACCGAAAATGTCAAATTGAAATCTCATCCCATAGAGAATTTTAAGCAGAATCTAGTGGGGCAATCAACATTTTTTGTCGGGGTGTGGTTTTGGAAATACGACTCAAACTTATGATTTTTTAAATGGAACACCCTGTATTTTATAAGCTCATGAAATTCCTCATTTTTTCTCTTCAAAATGATATATTATGATGTATGGATATAAAATTTTCAAAAATGCTCCAAAATCACTGAAACATTGAGAGTATCTCAATACGTCTTGATACAGTAAGAGGCACAACGATCTTGAAGAACTTCGACATCCTTTAATGATGTTGAATACATTAAGACGTATTGATAAAGTGTGTGAGGGACAATGGACATCAATTTGAACAATTCAATGAATAAATTACTGATTAATTTCGAAATTCAATTGTCTTAGTGAATATTTAATTAGATGCTTATTCTTTATCATAAACTTTTTATTATTATTCATTTGTTGCTATCAGGTCCCCAATTTTTGTGTTTTCTTAGTTAACTAGTGTTGGGATTGTTTTTGTCCTTTTCATGGGAAAATCAAATGAAATATTCCTTCAATTGCAACTTTTTTTAAATGAAAAATCCGAGGAAAAATCCATAGCCCACTATTAAAATTCAATGTTTTAGTGATTTTCGGTGATTTTGGAGCATTTTTGAAAATTATATATTTATACATCATATTTCATTTTGATGAGAAAAAATAAGGTAATTAATGCGCTTATAAAATACACTGTGTTCCATTTGAAAAATCATAAGTTTGAGTCGTATCTCCAAAACCATATACCCCTAAAAAAATTTATTGCGCCACTGGATTCTGCGCAAAAGTCTCTATGGGATAAGATTTTAATTTGACATTTTCGCTGAGAAACTTCGTAGATATAGAGGGGGTCCAAAAAGTATAAATTTTCAAAACCGCCCTGTATCTCATAAACGGAAACAGTTATGCAAAATCTGATTAGGCCATCTTGAGTTTCACAAAAAAGTGGCACAGGACCGCGAAAACCGCAAGGTTCTATCTCGAAAGATAACTGAGATATCACGCAAAAGCATCGAAAACTGGACACACTGTACATCCAACTAAGAAAATACCTTTTACGGACATTTTTTTCTTCTGTCCTCAAATACGAATGGCAATAAACCAGAAAAATATGAAAACAATGAATTTTTCAATTTATTCGAAAGTAAGTTTGACCCAGTATGTTCAAGAGCACCATATCCTGAGTATAGCGATAAAAACGAAAAGTATATCTTGTCTTTTCTCTCAAATCATAGTAATCTATCCACTTGAGCTATTGAACATTCCAAAATTTGCTGTTAATTTGAAATCACTGTATTCGGAATGGGGCGATTTTTTGCATATGAGGGTTTGGAAGTATGAGGAATAATAATACGAAGTTATTTTTCCTGCAAAAAATCCCTAATATGATTTCTTAAAAAATCGACCCCTTGATTTTTATTATAATAAAATAGCACGGCACTGTCCAAAAGGATCTTCGTCTCTGAAAAACTGATCATATTAATGATTATTCTTACCTGTCAAAATTTGATAGGTTAGTACCTATCGCACGATTAACAGAGGTATAGAGGGGGGCCGTTTAAAGTGAAATACGCTGTATACTCAGTATACACTGTATACAAAATAGTAAATAGTTCAATATTCACAGTGAGATTTACCCGATTCACTCGGATTTAACTTAACATATATTAACAATTTTCACAAACTTTGGAATCGGACCAATAGAAAACTAGGTAATACGTGGACCAGACCCTAATATAAATTATTCAAGAAATGTTTGCATGGCTACACTTATGTGTTGATAAATCGAGCAGAGCAGCTTCGAGACCTTCTGAACAGATATAATATCTTGGATAATATGCAGCTTTAACAGTTTTTTATCGCATCAAAATGTCTTCCTCTCCCACTTCATTATTGACAGATTGCTGACTCCACGCCACACTTTGGTGGTCAGTAACTTCAGCAGAAATCCTAGCCGAAAATATTCTGAAATGGATAGTCGAGGGGGAAACAACTCTTTAAATAGGTGTACACCATGGAATTTTAAGTACTTCAAGTATCATTTTCAATACATACATTAATAAGTACAGTTGTCTTCAGAGATCATGTCGCGGTTGGACGGTGTCAGCGATCTTATTGCAGGAGTTATCAAGACTGCGATCATCGTCCATGTGCGACATGTTTTCTGAAGACGACTGTACATATTTATAATAAGCTTTTAAGTCTAGAGTTTTGAGTATTTCAGTATTCAACCTGTTAACAGTACATTAAGTACAAGTTTTGAGTATTTTAAGTACTTTTTAATTGCCAGATATTAAAATATGGTTTACACATTTTGGGTAGTTGTCTCGGTAGTTGTTTCCCCCTCGTGGATAGTATACCAAAATATTGAGGGTCAGAGCCAGAGTCGTCCGCCAGAAATAATTTCTCAAGCTCCATTTTTAAGCTAAGCACAGCGTTTCTGAAATTGTGGGGCGCATCTCTGGCGCATTCACACGATTGGGGGAAAGGGCGCACTACATATTGTAAATAAAAAATAAAGACACTTTGTTTGACAAGCGAATTTTGCATTTGCGAGGCGGCCGTCTAGCGGAGCCGAGCGAAAGCAAAATTTTCCACTCAAACAAATAAGTCACTTTTGATCCGAATGAAACATGCTATGTTTTTCTGCAACCGGAAGATATTAACTAAAATAAATATGTGAAGTAACCACCAATGTGACTTACTTGACAGATTATTATATAATACCTTTATTATAATAATATAGGTAAGTAGATAGAAGCAAGACCTCAGTCTACTTTACATTAGAATATTGGTAGACGATGACTTTAATTTGATACAATTTGTGTTGACATGCATCATCAGATTCTATACAGGCACGAATTCAATACTATACCCGAAACGTGGATTCCGTGCCATATGTATGCAATGCAACAAATACCCCGTGTGGTGAATATATTCTACCTGCATTTACAGATCAGGTTTATTTCTGTGTTTAGGTTTCAAGGCAACAAATCCGGGAAATCCAATTTCACAAGTAAAGACGTTGGAAATGTACAACTAATTAGTTGTTTAAGCTCAGTATAAAAGTTTCTCAAATATCCGTTGACAAAGTCGTTTTTCTTTTGGTGTTAGTCCGACAGGTCTGTTCTCTAGATGGATTTAAAATCGATTCAAAACAAAGGTCCTTTTGGAATTCTCACTCAAGTTTTCTAAATGCCTTTCTACGAAATTGATACGTCTATGGATTGGAGGGGGGGGCGAAACATTTTTGGAATTAAAACAGCATGGCGCGAACGAGGGCGCGAAATACAGAAGTTTGAGAACCTAAGCTAGGAGAAACAAACCTTAAACATGAAGAAATATTGAGTATATTATAGATTAAATCGACTATTATTACATTTTGCCTCGCATTTTGACAAGTTTCACGTGATTTTTCATCAAGAGCATGACAAAAACTTTGGCGAATAAAGTCCATTGACTAGAAAAATACTTTAATCGTCGACCTCTACAAAAAAATCACATTTTATCGAGCATTTTATGTTCTAATTTCCGAACGAAAACCGACTATTTCCGAGGGTAAGTACTTTTCGTCCGCTGACACTGACTTTTCGTCCGCAAACACTTTTCGTCTTCGTCCACTTGTTCTTATCCATCAATCGGTTGCCCCCTTACGAGCAACCCTCAGAAGTCTTCAAGTGACTTGTGCGAGCAAGGAATGACGGGGGTCAAACCTTTTAACATGTGATCCATAACACTTTCTTAGGCCATCAGAAAGATTTCTGCGGTCGTGGTGGGAATCGAACCCACCTACCGGCAATCCAACGTGGATAGAATATTGACGCTTCAACCACGAGACTACGCTGGCCCTCTTCAACAACTACTATCTACTGAGACATTTTATAATCTACTGAAAAATATTTTGACAGTCATTCATTATTATAATCACTTATATTTTTTTTTGGCGAAAGGGACGAGGTTCGCACGTGGAAACCAAGTGAAAGAAGCAAAATTTTCTAAAAACGGTGAAGTGGAAATTCATCAAAGCCAAATTCACTCCCAACGATTAGAAGAAACAAGAAGGTGCATCGTGAGTAAATCCATAATACAATCAGCCCGCATTATTTCCCTGCTTATACCCTGCTTTAACCTAAACCTAACCTGTAAATAGCAAACTAATGACACAAGGACCTGGGGGCCCTAGCGGCCCCCAGAAAAAACCCCCTGACCTCAATGATTCCCAAAGTAGCACTTATCGCAGCCTTGTTGATAAATATGATGTTCATGATGTCCCACCATACACTATCATAGTGGAAAGTAATGACAAAAACTTAGGAAACATCCACCCAACAGCAGTAGGTAAAATTCTTAAGAGAAATTCTGTCA